TACAGCGCCTTACGGTATGCTGCAAAAATAGTAACAATATCCACTTTTAGGTGCGTGTATAAAAAAATATCTACTTTCAATATTGCAGGAAAGCATTTAAATTAGTATTGTTCTAAGAAGAGTGTCAAAATATAATACTGAATGCAATTACTTGTTCGAAAAACAAAAATAAACCAAAATTTTAAAGTAAATTATAAATATATATGTAAATGTCTTGATTAATGACCAACCGCTTGAATGAATGAATGAATAGCTGAAGAACTGATGCTGCGGGTGATTAACCTTCTTCTAGCTGCTTGCTGCGTCTTATCGCCAAATGACTTGTTTGTGTGTGTGTGTACGAGTGCGTTGCGCCTGCACTAAAGCATACAGTGTCTAGCAAAAAGGTATCGTAAATAAGTAGGTAGATACTTTTGATTTGGAAAGGGTCATTGCCTGGCGGTCGCGCTTAAGTGGCAAAGGCGTCGCTTCCGCTACATCTCACTACGCGTTGGCCGTTATAGCTATATACTTATGTACATACGTGCTTTTGATTTTGCAAGCAATCCTTTTAAAGCTTGAATACTTCAACAAAAATTGTAAAATTGCTTTCGAGTTGTGGGTGTTAGGATGCCCACTTTGTAAATGGCTTCCAGGCAGCACAGACGATTTATCGCTTTGGCTTTTAGCAAACTGACAATACTAATTGCGCATATTCTTTTATACATACATATGTATTGTATATGCATGTATGTATGTACTTATGTCCGAGTGTAAAAAATAGGTGCATAAAGAATGCAATTGTTTAATGGTCTACCAATCTACACACAAATATTTATGTATGTATGTATTTAGAGAACCGTTGCATTAGCTTTGTGCATTTTATAGCTATGTGTGTGTGTGGCGGTGTATTTCTGTAAATAAATCATCACACGTTCCACACACAACAGAACTGCATGTATGTACATACATCAATAGCAGCTTACTTGTGGATATATTTGTATGTAACACATTAAACTATTAGTCAGCTCAGTTTACAACAAACACACTTACCTCTAACAGTGTTTATTTTTTATTCTATTGCTTTGTTTTTTAAACTCTGAACAGTCCCTCATCTCCGAATATATTGTTCAGATGGCATCACTACAGCATATAACTGTCATACAAACTCACCGATCAGAATTAAGATTATTATTTTTTTATACCCTTTTATGCAATAAAAACTGCACCTGTGAAGGGTTTTATAGCTGCTTAGACTAATGATAGATGCATTTTATTTTGGCATATGCTTTATTTCTATTTTATTTTGCTTTTGTTTATGCCTGATGTGCCAAGTATCCTGAAGATCTGTATTGCAATAAAAAAATTATGTAGGTATGTATATACATATACAATACAATATGTAAGTAATAAATGAGATCCACATGCTTGTATGTTTTTAGAAATGCATATAAATTGATTATAAACACACATACTCGTAGTGGCTTTTATTTACTTAATGAAGTCACGTTTTCAATATCAAACAAGCATCAAAGCGTAGCTGCAGCTTTACTTACATAAGTAAAATACAGTCACATACATACAAGTATTTTCCTTTGTTTATAAATACAAAAATTCTGTTATTGGGTAATATCGATTTAGTTCTTTATTTGGTCTAATGCAAGCGCATATTTTTGATGCTAAATGTTTATGTGTTAATATTTTGTTGTCATTTTAAAGTTTATTACAGCCAAGCCTTTTTAGGTCAATGCACATTTGACTTCAAATTAAAGCAGAAGAAAGTGAAAACAAACAAATTTTTTATAAAGTTAAGAATTTTCACTTTTCTTTTGAAGAATAATCGTTTTGATGAAATGCAACTGAAAGTAAACTATATTAAGAGCAAGAATCTGCCTATACAAAAAAAAAAATTCATATATGTATATTTACATATGTATGTATGTACACAAATACATCATTTAAATATCTGACAAAAGCTCAGTAGTATTGCAATCTGTATTACAACAACTTAATAGATATAACACAAAACCTTCAAATTCAATAATTTTATATTGACATCCAAATTGCTAAATTTTGACTTGGTACATTCTTCTTTTGAAAATATTATGGACGTTATAGCTCAATTACACTTTGGAGCTGTGCTCAGCTGTGCTCAGCTGTGCTTTAAATTAATTAACTTTGACGGCTGAGATCAAAAGAGTTTACTGCAAAAGTTCCTAATGCCTCAATGAAGAAGAAATGTGTGATACATTAATGCTTTAACAGTCATTCACAGATATTTACATATGCGCTTAAGCCACTTTTAGTTTCGCTCAAGTTTCTCCTCAACAAATTTTCAGCTTTTATTATGCATATATTAGTTCCATCAATTTCATGGTGACCGACCTATCTTAAGCCGCGGCAACGTCAAGAAAGCGCAAGTAAATAAGAAATAAGAAAAGAGAGATAAACAAATCATTTTTCATTATAAAAAATGCTAATTCATGCAAATTTTGTTTCTACTTTTATGCCTTCGACAAAAATGAAAGCCAATTAACAGAGCAAAATGATCAATTAAAATATAATAATGCATTTTACTCTACTTGTTGTATTTTATACGCGCATAAATTATGCGTTACAAGCAAGCGAAATTTGGAGATGTGAGTGGGTGGGCTAGTAAAACGCGAGGGTTACATAATTTTATAACAATAACGGCAATTATGTAATTGAAGTACACTTTTTTTGATAAATTAAAACTTTTAACAATTTTTGTAAAGAAATTCCGAAATTGTTTAAACACTCTTTGAATAAAAATACAATAATTAGTATAATTAAAAACTAAACCTGTTGAGGAGTGCATGTGTTGCATAAATTGATTTAAAATATGAATGTTAGTGCTTGAAAATTAATTTAGCATCGAAAATGTAAACACATACATACATAAATATGCACATATTTTGCTCACATTTCCAGTTTAATTCTGGCATATTTCACCTTTATAAAAATATTAATATACATTTAAAAACCAAGTTTCAGGTTTAAGGTTTAAAAAAAAAATTAATTCCCGACATGTACATTTGAAGAAATAGCTGTTAACCGTTGTTTAGTACATAAAAAACGTATAAATTACTAACTGATCGTCAATACAGATCAAGTTTAAACAATGGTGCATGCGCGGTATTTAAACAATGCTCATTCAAATTGTTGAAATACGACAATATGAGCGGTTGACATTGCTGCTCTGTCTGTAAAGAATAACACAAAATGAACTAGAAGCTACTTGCTAACAAATTTTCACAGGGGTAAATGCATCTTTATAGATTCTTTCAAGAATTACCGATCAATTTTCATACAACCGCCTAAACTGCTCAAAAGTTAGAACTGCAACTGCAAAAACTGAATATTTTCGAAAAAGTTAGCCGAGACCACTTTAATAATATACATTTTGCCGTACAGCTTGCGTACTAAAAAATATTTTCAAAAAAGTACAATTAAAAAAAATGTTTGTTACTAACCTTAAAACTTGTGATAACGCTGATGATTAATGTACATAAATACAAATTTATTTATTTGCAAGGGCGCTAGCTTTTAAATCGAGTTTGCAAGTATATAGACACAATATGCACAAGTATTCAGCGCTGAGTAATAAATGCACTATGAAGCGTTTTACATCTTTTTACGCTGCATTTTCGATTGATTTTAATTATTGCTATGCTATACACGCTTTATAACTGTTGATATGCACTTGTATAAACTGTAGACGCGATCTCTTATAAAACAATTGTACGTTCTAAGTATTTAAAAACCTTTTCATTGGTGCAAATAAAATTATAGTGCCAATTTATTTGAAATATGATTGTACTGAGCTACCATTTACGTTTTATAAATTATATAAAAAATTTGCTCTACTTTTTAAAACACTTAATTTTTGTTATGCACTTTTATGGTCATACAAAAACGACGGAACTCCGTTCAAAATATGTGCTGCCAGCTGTATTTTTGCCCGCACCGCACCAAGCAACGACGACCCTTGTTTTGGTCAGCGATGCGAATCGCGAAATTAATGTACACACATATGCATAAGTTAATCCAAAATTATAAGCTCCACAGCCTTCTGCATTCTACGCCCTTTACGAACTATTTTCAATACTAACGTGTATTAGATAAAATGCTTTGTAAGAAATTGTTTTGAAATAAATTTTTTTTTTTTCACAAACACTTTTGGGCAAATTACTTTATATTGCAAGCTACGCGCCGATAATTAATAATTCGAAAAACAAATGCGCGTACTCGCGATACACCACCTTCTCCAGCAAACGCTTTAACTTGACTCGTCGTAGCACAAAAGGGAATTCAAAATGTTCGCCTCAACTGCACAGTATAGTATGCCTCTTCAAGCACAGACGCAGCCAAACCAGACGTCGTTTGTTTTCATTTGGAATTTACAATCAAACGTACATAAATATGGATATATTTGTGCGTAGCGCTACACCTCAACGTACTCTTGCCGCCGACAACTCACTTCAATGCCTCATTCCACAGCTGTTTGTTTGGAGCTCCAATAGCTACCACCAATTGGCTGCTCTCTGTGCAGCGTTCTTCGTACCTACCGGCTTGCACCTTCGTTTGGTGCAACGAATCAACAAAAGTAAAGCACCGGCGTACGGAAGACGAAGGTTTAGATTTGTGTATAGTATAAACTTCACATATATGCATATACAAACGTATACTATAAACAGTAAATATACGTTGGCGCACTCAGCTCTTTGTTTTTAAATGTCAATCGTGATTTCGGCGCGTTTGTTTTGAATATTGAAACTTTGTTTTCGTTTTCGTTTTGTACAGTCAGTTCTTGTGTATTGCTGTGTGTTGACATTTAACATCAAACTGAATCTATTCACAGGGTTGCATTGGTAGCTATTGGAATGCAACGCGTTCCACAAGCGGTTAACGATACAGAGAACGTAGATTTATGGTACGTTGTGTAAATAGCTGCTAGAATTTGAACTTTGCACAAAGTGATCTTGCACACACGTATTTATAATGTGTATTCAAAACATTATTTTAGGATTTATTCCATTTATTTATAGTTAGCATCATTTAACAAAGTGCCTATTTTTTCCTAAGCGTTAAAAGTTAAGTTGTCAGATTTAGAAAATATGGCAATGTCTGCGTTTAATATCTATCCAACCCGTTGACGTCAGTGCAGTCATCGGCTATCTCTTTTTAGCAACCAATTATTAACGGCAAACTGTAAAGCAATTTGTTTTGTTGATATTGCTTTGAGGTGCTATATTTGTTTAATTTTTTTTTTGATAAATGCGCGCTTTATTGTGTTTTTGTACGTTAAAATGGATCCAAATAATATGCTCTTCCGATTGGAAGATCTTACAGCTGAAAAAGTATACGCCGAATATGGCATAACTAAAGAAGAACGAATGAAAAATCCGGAATTTTATAAATTGTTCGTCGAAGATTTCGTGAGTATTGGTCGCAAAACTATAAAAACTAAATTTTGAATGAAATTATAAGTAATATTTTACAAAATTTCCACAGATACCTACACGCGAAGACCTGCAACGTGAAATTGATAAAGAAAAGCTGAAGGAATTGTGTCTACGTTTACCATGTCGCGTTTTAATGCAGCGTTGGAATCCGGTGCAAGATTTCGTGAATCAATTCACGCGCCAAGGACGCATACAACGTTGGACAAAAGAAAAAACTCAAAAACTATTAGTAAAAGCAGTTGGTCGGCATAAAAATGTGTGCCTCTATAGTGATGATGAAATACGCAAGCAACGTGAGCGGGAATGGTGCGAACGAAAAAAAGAAAATTTGATGCGTCTAGTAGTTTGGGAATACGACCGGCAGAAGCAAGTATTGCAAGATGAGCAATCTGAAGAAGTACTACACAACAGCTATAATACGCACAACAGTGATAATAACAATGTGACCGATAGTGAAGAAACCGAAATTGATATACAAAAGAATGTAACTTCCGACGGTGCTATAGCATCAGCTATTCTCAACATAGATGCTGTAATGGCAGAATTGCATGGTAGCCCACTAGAAGGGACGCCTTCAGATATTGTGCCTATACCGCCACTTAGTCAAACTACACATTTGAATCCAGCAGATTCGACAACCAATATTTTGCCACAAAGCCAAGTGCTACAACCAACTTCCCTACCTAGCACGCAAAATACCGAAGAGCTTGCTGGTAGGGAATACGTGGAAATGGTGCAAGAAATTAGTGTTAATGATATGCCTAGATTAGATGATTTTATTAATGTTAATACGGAGTCAATGCAACTGGAGGATTCAACAACAATTAATTCGCAGGACGTTTTTAATGGTGAATGCACACCGCCATATTATGAGTTCAACACACATGTATCTATGACATCAACGCAATCGCCGACTGCTAAGTAATTTGTTATAGTTGCTAATATATATATTTTTTTATGATATAAAATGTTAAAATTTAACTGTTTGTTTTATAAGAATATTATATGTGGAAAATAAATTGCCATGGTAATAAAAAATATAAAATATATAATGCTTAAAAGTAACTGTAATTATTTATAGTAGTGCAAATTGCAAGCAGCGCTGCGACAGTAGATTATTCATATTCACATGTAAGCAGAAAAAAAAACACAATTTTGTAAACTTGTTCCGAAAAAGGTTAACTTTTATTAATACATGAGTATTATTACGTTTTTCTTCTCGTAATTTAAAAGTCGTGGGGGAACAGCATTTCTGTATGTCCAAACAATAGCTGCGTAATGCATAACAGAATAAACAAATTCATATTTAACTTAAATTTTACATTTTCCATGTTTGTATGTAAAGTATGTAGGCATTCGCTATTACAAATAATTTATATAGTAAAACCATATTGATATATATGTATTTGTAAACTGTGTAAGCGTCTTTTTGAAAACTTATTTTCTAAATACGTTTCTCAAAGGACAGTTATACATTTCATTTCAGGCTTTGGTTGTAGGTTATAAGCGTTACTCAAGTTTGTTCGTGTTGAGGTGGTGGTTGTGGCTTAAATTGATACGGCCAAAATTTGCTTGATGGTTTCACTTGAGCTAGGTAGCTGTTTTGATTGCAAAAAACAAAAAACAAAAAAATTATATATACATTTATTTTAGTTGATTTGTTATGTCTTTAGAATTTTTCAAATGTGTGTGTGCTTTAAACTGTTATTTGTTGCTGTTAGTGGCGTTTTCAAAAATATTTAACTATCGCATCTAACTACTTTGCGGTTTATGGGTTTTAAAGGTTCGATATTTTTTATACAGTTTACGATAATGGTATTTAATCAATATGAGTAGTATGGATATGTGGTATATACGAATTTAAGGATCTGCGGCCAGTGGCGAGGTGATATTTCTAAAGCTGAGTTGCGTGTGCCCTATATGTATTTATGTAAATTATTTTTAAAAGCGCCACAAATACATATTTATTTAGTTATTTTGGCCAACACTTTATAAATGTATATAATCCTAAGTAATTTACAGAAATAGGCATGACTTTTAAGAAATTATTTAATTCTGTATAATAGATTAATTATTTCGATTTAAAAAAAAACTGTAAAATTGTTGATTTATTAAAAAAATGTATATGGTTGATTATTAGGGCAGTCCTTTAATGTTGGAAAGGTATTTCAAAATAGTTATTTAATTCCGTACAATATCTTAATTACTTCGATTAAAAAAAATTTAAACTTGGTTTGTGAAAATATTTATGGGGCACACAAAGTGTGATATTTTAAACAAAAATCGATTTTATTCATATTTCGATAAAATATACCTTTAAAACTAAGATACTAAAATTTAAAATTCTTATCTCAATAAATATTAAAGTTACAGCCTTCTAAAGTATAGTCGCTCCGTTCAATCAGCGCAGTCAGTGATTGCAACCTACAATTAGCTACCAGTTCCAAACGAAAAAAAAATTAATTTTGACAGGCAAAAAACGATCAAAATTTTGGGTAAAATTCTACTTTTTTTCAATTACCGCCATTTTTTATTTTTTTTTGACCATATGTCTTCTTCTTTTTCTAGTAGATTTTTTATTAGATTTCATTCACGGAGATGACCGGAATCACTGCACCACTGCAGGACCTTTTTTTAATGACATCTCCGACGGGATGTAACTCGGAAAATATCAAATTTTTTTCTTGATTAATTTTACTGTGTATTCTTAATATATGTAATTAAATAAAAATACGCTTGAAATTTTAAAACAATCGATACAGTAATTTTATTTTAATTCTCAAAAATCGCCTTTTATTAGGCTGTCACACTAAGTGTGCCCCAAAATGCATATTTTGGAACTTTAGGGTATTCCTTAAATTTAGGAAAGGAAATTTACCAAAAATTATCTGAATAATTACACAAATAAGAATTTTATTGGTATTTAGAACCACCCTTAAGGATATTTTACGGAAAAAAGCAACATAAATAAAAAAAATCCGAACTTTTCTCAATCTAAAATTTCTGTCAATTATATTGTACAAACATTTTAAATAATAATTTTAAACATTAGGGTGGTACTTATATATTTTATGCAAAAAAATCAAACTAACCGAAAAAGAACTTTCCAAAATATTTCTTAATTTGAATTTCTCTCGAAGTTTGTATAATTTTTAATAATAAATGTGATCATTAAGGTAGTATTTAAATGTTGAAAAATAATTTTATCAAATATTTTCCAAACGAAATGTAACTGAAGAGATTATATTTTATTGGTGTTTAGAACCACCGCATTAAGTATATTTTATGCTAAAAAGCAACATAAATGAAAAAAATTCTTTATTTAAATTTGTGTCAACGTTTGTACATATAATTTTAAATAGTAAGTTTGATCATTAGGGTGGTGCTTAAATGTTTGAAAGGAAATTAACTAAATATTTTCTAAACCATAACACAAATGAGACTGAAGAGTTTTTTTTTGTTTTTTAAGAACCACCCTATTAAGTATATTTTATGAAAAAAAGTCAAAATAACCGAAAAAGAATTTTCGAAAATATTTCTCATTTCGAATTTATCTGACTGCAGGGATGCTTCATTTGTTTTCAGCACCACCGTATTAAGGATATTTTATGCAAAGAACATTAACTTAAAAAAAATTAAAAAAATTACTGAATTTACATGTATATCAACGTTTGTATAATCTTTGTTAAATATGAAGTATTTGCGGCTAATATGTAATAAATATAGCATGCTTATGTACACATGCATACAAGTGCACATAATTATAAACACATATATATTAATGTTAGCAATTGTTGAATTAGTACAAAATTTATTATTGGCAAAATTCGAGTTTACATATTTTTTTTTGCGTTTTATTAGTTGTATTAGTAATATTAATTATTTTTTTATATAAGTTTATTAGCATTATTTGGCATGAGAAATATAAATTCATTTATTTAGCAGCAAATTTAATGCATACACACACATATAATTATTTTTTGTTACATCTAGCGTTTAGTTGCACAATAACAATTCGTAAAGTGATTATAAAAAATATGGTTAATATAATTTTTGGAGTCGTACAAAAATGCCACATATTTATACATATAATATATTTAATATTTACATTAGTTTATCGTACATATCATAATTACTAAAGTTTTAGAGCTTAACGCACACACAGACATAAATAACCTAATATATACATACATACATGTACACATATCGAGAGTATTAGCAAAATAATTCCTACAACTAGAAAATTAATTTCACTTATACATATACAAACACACTTATTTGTAAGTAGACAAATTAATACTTATGCTTTAAAGTTTATAAACTAGTATAATTAGACGCTAACTCAACTATTTTAGTTACATGAAATGCTTTCAAGACGAACGAGCAACTATGTTCAGCGACTTGTCGTGCGGTTAGTGGGTGTTCAGGATTACACACACACATACATGTGCCTGTATGTGTATGTATGTGTCTATAGTAGTAGTTCCAGTCGAACAACAGCGCATTAGTAGCATTTATTTCGTTTCGCACTCACCCATCATTCAGTTTTCGGCGGCGTGCAACGGCGCTATTTTTAATTATTTCCGATATTTCACGACCGCCCGAACTTTCACCTTCCGAGGTGGAAGCGATTGTGTCACCGCTACGTAAAGCCGCCACACCGCCGCCACCACTTGTCGACGTCGGTGGACGGCCCAAATTCGAGAGATTACGCACGAGACTTACAGCGTCGTCGTGTTGTGGCGCGCCACCGGACGCGGCAATTGTTGCTGTGGCAGCGCTGGCGTGTTCATCTTGCACGCGATTGGCGTTGAGCGTTGTTGCCGATTTGCGCAGATTGGCGACGGAGGCGTGTGTGGAGCTTTTCAGACGATTTTTCAATTCGGAACTCAAGTCCATGGGCATAAAGCCAACACCAATAGACTTTGATTTGAGTATGCCTTTCGGCGGTTCAAAAGCGGATTTGGTCGGTGGCAAATGAGCGGCAGCTGTGTGGAAGAAAACAAAAAAAAAAAAAAATTCTTTAAATATATTTGATTTTGCTGCTAAATTTTATAATATTTTATTATTATTTTTTTGTTTGTATATGCTTTAAGCAAATATGCATAATTTGTTGGCGAGTCGCAATTAATAGAACGCATGCGCTGTTATTTACATAAAAGAGAAAAAGAAAAGTGTTAAATGAAGTAAACATTCTAAACAAAAAATAAATAAATAAATAAAATTTAATACTCACGATTTATATTTTTTTCTTGAGAAGAAGAAAATAAAAGTGTTACAAATATTCATCAATTTTGTATTGACATAACTTGATTATTGCTATAATTTGTATGGCTTAAAATTTATTATAGTATTTCCATGCAATAATTACATTAAATGCTCACTTTTTGCACTTACATAGCGTGAAAACGCGAATAAAGAAAATAGAAATAAAAAGACAAATTTTGAAAAAGAAAACACTAAAATTAGAAAATTGTAAAATAATAAACAAATATATGTATATATATGTATGTATAAAAGAAAAAAAATATTAAAAAAAAATATTTAAAAAAAATATTAAAAAAAAAATATGCATATAAAAAATAAAAACAATTATTAATATGTATCTAAGAAAAATAGATAAAAATAAACAAAAATATGTATATAAGAAATAAAAAATATAAAATAAGAAAAAAAAGAAAAATTAATTAAAACAATTAAATAAATAAAAAAATTAAATTATTTTTTACTACTAAAAAAGTTAACATGAATTTTAATTTATTATAAAAATTGCTACTCAAAAATTAATAAATAAAATAACAAAAATATAACTTAATAAACAAAAAAGTTTGTTATTAAATTAAAAAATTATGCAGAACTATCAAATTCATGACAGGTTCATACATTCATACATATCTTTCACTGTACTATCTGAATTGAAAAAAAACTCAAATTCATATACTTCATTGCCGAATTAAAATGTAAGCTAAAAATTTATCTAACGTCTTGCTGTAAAGCTCTTTTTTTTAATGACATTAATTTTTATTTTATATTTTATTTGAATTTATTTAGTAAAAAAAAATTTTTTTTTACCTTTATTTTTTTATTTCCATACTTTCTTTCGTTTCTTCAACCTTTTTTATTATATTATAACTTTTTGCCGTAAAAAATGTTTGTCTTATATATATTGTTATTTAATTAAGATACATATTATTTGCAATAAATAATTTTTTTTTGGCGTTTTTATTTTTTATTTAAATATTTTAATTATACTATTAATTTCTTGTTTTTTCATCTTCCTACTTTATTATAACTTTTTACTGTGTTTTATATATATTCAGATTTAATTTTTTTTACAATAAATTATTGTTGTTGAATTTTTACTATTGGCTTTTATTATTTATTATATTTTATTATTTTATTCGTAACAAAAAAATATTTTTATTTAGTTGTTATTAATTTTATTTGTTAATTTGTTAAAAAGTTTTGCTTGTATACAGGAAAAAAGGAAGATTTTCAATTTTTAATTCCGATTTTTTTTCAATCCGGCTTAGGGATTTGTGTTTTGGAAATTTTAAAATTATGATTTTCGGTATTAAAAAATATTTTGTTTTTATTTAATTTATTAATTTAAATTTATTTTAATGCAATTATTTCTGTTAGGGATTATTTGCAACTCTGGTTGTATACAATTAGTTATATACAATTTAATTATATATATTTTAACATAATTTGTTTTAATTCAAGTTTCGCTTTAATTATTATTTTTTAATTGTTAGCGAAATAATTGTTTTGTTTTTTACTATATTTATGTTTATAATTTTATTACTATTTTATATGGTTTTATATATTTTATTTTAATTTAGCTATATATGCTTTGGATTTCTATTTCAATTTTTAATTTTCCTATATTTTATTATAATTTATTAAATTTATTAAATTAAATTATAATAATATATGTAACAAAATTATTTTTATAAATTTTATTATATTTTCTTCTATTTGATTTTTAATTTTTTGTATTTTACAATACAAATTTTTGATATTTTTGTTTTATTTACTTTTTTTTTTTTGTATTTTAATATATAAGTATAATTTTTTTGAATTGTTTACTAGAAACAACCACACATAAACTTCCCTTTGCAAAATCAACAAAAAAAAAAACAATTGTTTAACATTTTCAATTGACATTTCTCATCATTTATTTTGCTCTAACATCACACACATCTGTGTTGTTAAGTATATAATCGTATATCGTTTAATATGCAAATCAAATATACAGCAGCTGCTAACTAATAATGCAGATTATTTATATAATAAAGTTAAAGAAAATATAAAACAAAATGCACATAACCTAAAAACAGCAGCTTTTCAAATGCATTAAGTAAATATTTTAATAATAATAATTGTAAGCTGTTATAACGGTATATTTTAAGTATAAATGTAACAGTATTTATTTCGCACTCATGACTGACACAAAGTGTTAATATATTTATTTCTAGGTAATTTTTTATTAAATTTAATTTTTAACGGTATATGTATCTATATAAGTATATTTAGGTATGTAGTGGTGTGTGTATATTTTTTTTATTTTTTTTTAATTAATTTAACATTTTACGTATTAATCAATAGCGATACAGAGAGCAACATAAAATTAAATATACAAAAAAATAATAATATTAATATTTAAACAAAAAAAGTGTTTTTAATAAGCGTGTAAATGCATTTACATATAAGCTTAGTTCATTTTTTGTTTAATTTTAAATACATAATACAGTTAAAACTATTAGTGTGTGTTAACAACAACACTGCATTACAATATTTAATAATGGTTGCTTAATAAATTGCTTACAACTTTTACTTTTTACAGCAATGAATTGGATTTTATTTTTGCTTGATTTTTCATTATGCTTGTATTATTAAAAGTTTACAATTTTTATTTAGTAAGTAAGTAAGTTTATAAAGTAAATACAAATCACTACATAGATAAATGAAGGGGAATAACAAGCGTCGGCAACAAAAAATTATATTATAATATTTAGAAATTTATAAAACTAAATATTAGAAAATTATAAAAAAAAAAGCGCTGCAAGAACTAAATAGCAGTGGCATAAAGAAAAACCAAAAAAAAAGAAACATATTTCAGATAAAAAAATTTTTGTTTTTATACTTAATAATATAAAAATATATTCTGCCATCGATTTGGAACTCTTATAGAGCAAAAATCGATCAATTAATGCAGCAAAGACGATTTTTAAAAATTACATAAAATAGACTTCAGCTGTTTTAGCTTTCTTTACGCGGGCTTTGAACGAAAAACAAAAAAAAACAAATTGTAACAGTAATTAATGTTCAAACGGTATTAACACTGAACTCTCAAATACTCAAATGGCGTAATACAAATTTTTGAAATATCATAAAAACAGTTATTGTATTATGTGGTTTTAGCATTTAACAGTATTTTACGCCACTATTAATTATTAATAATTATACAAAATTTTAATTACATTTTATTTCATATTTCAATGCTGCTAACTATGACGCATATGACGTTTACAATGCTTAGCAATTTTCAATATTTTTTTTTCAAATTTATTAGCGTCGTATAATTTTCTATAAAATATTTTAAATTCTACAATTTTTTTTTTTTTCGTTTGGGTTCTTGATTAGATATTAAATTCGCTCACTTCTGGAAGATGTAATGTTATTCGCTTTTTTGTTTATTTTTTGGTTTACTAAATGAGTGCAATTTTAAAGCGTTCAACAAAATGTTCACTCAAGTTCGTTTTTCAATATTTTTTCGTTACAAGACATAAGGCTAATCGATAATCGATATCATTAATATTTTCCAAACTACAAATACAAATCAGTATAGATATATATAAAAAGAAAATAGTATAAGAAAAATATGCGTAGCCTACAACAACAGCAATTGCATTGAGCTGCTTGACCTTTTCTTCAATTTCGACGGCATACACTTGCTTCCACTCTAACTACAATTGTAGAGCGCTAAAACAAGTGCGTACCTTTTTCCATAATTTTTTTTTTTTTTTTTTTTTTTGAAAAAATATTTATAAATAATTGCTTTAGAATTTCTCAAGAGTGAATATGTTCTTTGAGTGAGCAAAGCGCTGCAAAACCCAGACATCAAAATATTGAATTTTGAATTTATATATATTTTTTTTACTTTCTGTTTTTGTTTGTGTTTTATAGATTTCGCATATGTTTCAATTTTGCAAAATGATTTAATTTTGAATTTATTAATAATTTAACAATATATATTATAAATTTTAAATTATATATATCCTTTTGGCAAGCAACACATTTCACATTTCGAGCAATACTTCGCATAGCCTGTAACATAGTTCGCGCTCGCTTTTTCAATGCGCGCGTGCGAACACACACACGCAAGTCCAGCGCCAGAGCCGCGCGCTTGTTTTAAGCACAATTTAACAATGGCTTCCGCGCGCTAACTCAAATAACACCCAAAAATATACGCTCGAACTCTTTAGATGCCAATTGTAATTCTTCCTTTGTCACTACAATATCGTCGAAGCGCTTGACTTCTGGTAGCGGTACACCGTGCGTTAGCGTTAGCGCGCGCGAGCGCAAGGTACGCGTGCGTCCTGAATTAGGTGTATCTGCGTTCGCTGACGTGCTAAATAATTGCGTGTGGCTCGAAGTGGGCGTAAAAATGATATTAGTTGTATTGGCGCGTTGGCGCTTCGACATGTCTCGGCGCCTTTGCACCGCTGACGCAGTGCCAGTAGGGGTCAATGCGGTAGCGGATGAAGTTTGTGTTAGCATTATATCGTAAGCGCAACCTGAAGGCGGCGTAAAGTATGGTGTATTCGAGTTACTGCGTACATTATGATTGAACGCTTCGAGTGGCGTTGCGCCAGCAGTATTGGTTTCCTTTGCAAATGACAGGGCGTCCGTTGCTTTCTTGACGCTTGCATGTAAAACTCCATTCGGCGTGTGCACGAAGTCGGGCGGTGGTAGTGATGGA